CTCTTTATGTTTATAAAACAAAAATTTTCCATTTGGTCATTGAGTGGACTCTGATATCTGCAAAACTTTTTAATATAAACTTTTATTCCTATTTTATTTAACTAAAATACAATTTAATTAATTAATTAATTTTAAGTAATTTTATATTGAATATTACTGAACGCAATGAGTCCATTAATCCACATATTAAACTTGTTATTAATTAGTGGATTAAAAATAAAAATCTTTAAATATTGATATGAGATTCAAATGAGGTGTTTATATAACAGTAAACATTGTCCTAAAATAACCCCCCAATCAATGGACCTTGGGATCAATTATCCATTTGCAGCCATTGGCATCGAAAGCACTACCACTTACTGATAGCATCCACTTTGAGTTTTGCCCAAAACTACTAATCGATGACTTATTAATTGCTTTTAACAGCTATTATCTACCAATTGGTGATAACTTTTATGTTTGATTTACACGAAAGTCAAACACTTCTAATCATAACAGTTACAAATATAACTTATAATGGTTATTGAAAGGACACTGATGTTTTCATAAACAAAAACTTTATAACTGTTATTATAACTATTCTGTTTATAGGAATCATAAAATTACATTTAAAGATCAGCTAATCATTTATTAAATTACAAATATTCAAATATTTAGTCAAATTTAATTAGATGTAAAACTTTTTATTACATTATTGGATAAGTTATAACTATTATAACTATTGGATAAGTATTAGAATTGCATTGATAGCATTTGAAAGTGGGTTAAGCTTTAATTTATAATTTTCTTACATGAAAAATAAAATTATATACTTTTTATTAACTTTGAGATAATTTCACGACTTTTTAATTTTAATTCCTGTATAAAATCAAATAAATCTCAATAAACTAACCAAGAACAAAAATCACAAAAAGCCTTACAGTTTATTGAAACACCAAAACCTCAAGGGATGGCACCAATGGTTTCACATTCAAAGCATTTTGTAATCAATTTTGAGTTAAGCGCCAAATAATACACAGAAATCGTGTGAACCAATGGGAGCACAGTATTAACATTGACAGCAATAAGCATTGAAAGCACGTGTTGTGTGAATACAACAACACATGTGTTTTGCGGACATTTAACTAGTGATCAGACTTTGGGACACAATTAGTGACCGCAAGAAGTGACTGTAGGATCAAAGTATGGGTCGAAAAGGCAATTACGACCAGAAGGTTAAGCGCGGCAAAGGGCGGGCATCCAAGAAGCAAAAGGATCCGGAGTTCAAGCAGTGGTTTGCCGGCGACACCACCGATGACCACAAGAATGCGTCCAAAAAGAGGTATCCATTGAGTCGTGGAGATGTGTCACGTGTTTGTCGCACATTATCTTTAATTGATTTGTGGTTTTGGGTGTCAGGAAGAAGTCACTGAAATCTGATAATCAAAAGAGTGGTGTAAATGATCGCAAGAGTGGCCAAAAACGGGTCAAATTTGCCGATAAGATTGAGTACAGTCCCGACTCGGATGACGATCAGGTGGCGGACCAGTCGCTCGATGATAATGAGACCACATTTGACACGACTGGCGAGGATTACTCCGACGACGGATCGGATGAGGTGCAGATGAATGGTAATCATAATGAGGACGACGACGAGGAAGAGGTTTCTTAAGATTTCTCGCTTAAGACTAAATGATTTAACGCTTGTTTTGATCCACTCTTTGATGTTCAGGACTTGGATGAAGACGTTGAACAGGAAGGAGAGGATGAGGAGGAAGAAGGGAATGAAGGAAGTGATGAGGAATTGGACACAACTATAGAGTTAAACGCGACGACCGATGAGGAGGACATGAAGATATCGGATGCCATCCAATTGGGAACCACTGACAGCCGACTGCCCGAAGACTTGGCGATCATTAAGCAGCGAATAAGTGATGTGTTGTTTGTGTTGTCGGACTTCAAGTCCCGGCGCGACCCCAACCGCTCGCGCGCTGACTATCAGTTGATTTTGAAGCAAGATTTGTGTCAATACTATAATTACAACGAGTTTTTGATGGAAAAACTGATGCATTTGTTTAACGGCGAAGAACTCAAAGAGTTTCTGGAGGCGAGTGAAGTGCACCGACCGCTCACTCTCAGGACCAACACGTTGAAGACCCGGCGCCGCGATTTGGCGCAAACGTTGATCAATATTGGCGTTAATGTGGACCCGATTGCCAAGTGGTCGCGAGTGGGACTCGTTGTGTACGACAGTCAGGTGCCCATCGGAGCCACACCGCAATACCTGGCCGGCCATTACATGCTCCAGGGAGCGGCCTCACTGTTGCCGGCCATGGCGTTGGCGCCCCAACAGAACGAGAAGGTGTTGGACATGTGTGCGGCACCGGGAGGCAAGACCACACATATTGCGGCGCTCATGAAGAACACGGGTATTGTGTTCGCCAACGATCCCAACAAAGACAGGTGTAAAGCAGTGGTGGCCAACGCTCACAGGTTAGGGATTGTCAACACTGTGGTCAGCAATTATGACGGGCGACAGTTCCCCAAAATTATGACCGGCTTTGATCGGGTCCTGTGCGACGCCCCCTGCAGTGGAACCGGTGTTATCGCCAAAGATCCCATCGTTAAGACAAGTAAAGTATGTATTGTTTTGTATGTTTTAAAAGATTTTATTTTGGTTTAAATTTGTTGTTTTTATCGGTAATTAGTTTTATGTTTTTGTATTAACTCTGGACTCGTATTACAGACAAAATGCGAATGTATTTCTTGAGTAATCTATTATTTTCTGTCACTATTATTGATGAGCTTTTTATTGATTAATACATTTGTTTAATCCCTTTCCCTTCACCATTATATAGGAATCAGTAGACATTCAACGGTGCGCTCTCTTACAGAAAGAGTTAATTCTAGCGGCTATTGATTGCTTGGACGCCAACTCCAAAACTGGCGGTTATCTCGTGTACTCGACCTGTTCTGTACTGGTATGTCGTGTGTATATCCGATCCCCTGCTCTCACTCGCACTTCACTCCTAATCCCTTTCCCATCAGAGAGCCATGTGTTGTCACCGACACTAATACCACTGCTGTTGTCTGTCTCTCACCCATAGGTCGAGGAGAATGAAAGGGTTATTGATTACGCGCTTAAGAAGCGTAACGTAAAGCTCGTACCAATCGGTGTCGACTTCGGGAGGGAAGGGTTCACTCAGTAAGTGATGGCACGCTTTAAGCCTTATTTTGTTTCACTTTGAATTGCGATTTAATTGGTTAATACTTTTTTGGTGATAATTATAGCTATAGGGAACTCCGTTTCCACCCGACTCTGTTGCACACCCGACGCTTTTACCCGCACTCACACAACACGGACGGCTTCTTTGTGGCCAAACTCAAGAAGTTTTCCAATACTATACCCAAGAGTACTGTCACTCAGAAAGACAGTGAGTATTAAGACATTGTTTTCTGATTTTAATCACTTATTTAGACATTTAATTAACAGTTCTTTTTGTTATTAATTACTTTTTCGGTTCTTATCTAACTCTCTCTCTCTCTCTCTCTCTCTCTCGACTCTAATTTGTTTTCACGTCTAAAGAATAATCTGAAAAGTTTTTTGTTTTATTTTCAAAAATAAAAGTTTATTTCTCTATTCCGTACGTATGGTGTGTTATACCATATATTGAAAGATTGATTCCTAAGTGAGAGGTTAAAACACTGGTGTTTTATGAGCTGAACTCTACTGTTAATGAATTTAATTAATTACGGGTTTGTGTGTAGAGTTAGACGGCTGTCCAAAAAGTTAGCCCTCACTTGCAATGGTATGTGATTTGCATTTAGAACAGGGAATACACTCTTTAGTCCTTTAAATGACTTTTTTTTAACGTGAAGTCTATTATTGTTATTTGATTACCATTTCCCACATAAACTATAATTTAATTTTACTGATCATTTCAATCACTAATGAATATGACGTGACTTTTTGTCTCTAAATATCTCATTAGGTTTGCAAACACGAAAAGTTTGCTCTTTTTAACGCTATATTTGTGAGCATTTATTTGATTTTAGAAATAGTTATCAAATAATTTGCTTTTTATGTTTGACTTTCTCGTAGAAACAGATGACCAGAAAACGGATGAAACAAACGTTAATAACATAAATAAAAAGCATAAGAAAACTAAAACTCATAATAAAAGGGATGGAAATGAAAGCAAAGGAAAAGTGAGTGAAAAGAGTGGTAACATTGAGAAGAAAGCAGAGCCTGAAAGCGATGACCAGACGGCCGTTGAGGGGAAGGGTGTGTCCGATGAGGTCGAGAGTAAGAGTGAAATCGATAAGAAGCGGGTGTCGGGCGCCAGGAGACTGAAAATGAGACGAAAACAGCAGAGAAATCGCAATAAAAAGAAGAAATTGAAGTTAAAGGAGAAGAAACCGAAAGCACCGGCAGATCAACAAAAACGCCAGAAGCCGACCACCAATACTAGCGATTCGAATAAGAAGTCGAAACACAAGAAGAAGAATAAGAAGACGAGTGTTAAGACGAAAGAGGAGTGAAAACCAATGGGGAATGGGATCTAAATATGGGAGGAAATATAGTTATAAATTAATTTATATATTTTTGATTCATTTGATTGACGCCAACATTATGTTAGTGATGGAAAGACATGTCATGTATTACATGCGAAATGAAATGTATAAATGAAGTTTTAATTATTAAACAGTTATTTTAAACTTATTTATGACTAATTTAATTGATTTTACTTTTTTGGTGCATTATTTAAGATTTACAGTTTTAACAGTATTGTAATACTAATCATATATACATACTGTATATTATTTAATATGTATGTATATAATTTACTGTACAAGGTAGCTTAATTATTTTGCTTAAGACATTTGTGACATCATTGGCTGTGACTTGGAAACAGTTTTCAGGACACACTAAGAAACTGACGGCAACTGAAAGACAGTTTAAAATGTTTGACATTAACAACACATTCATTACGCAAATCAATGACCAGACGTTCAATAGAAATGAATGCATTTATGTATACAAAAATAAAACAAATATTATTTAAAAACATTAGAGTTCATTAACTTATATGATGACCAGGTATAGTTACACTCAACATAACATACACAACAAAATTTATTGTCCTAACTTTTAATTTTTTACACTTAAGATATGGTTCTCTCTCTCTCTCTCTCTCTCTCTCTCTCTCTCTCTCTTATGTAAGACCCACTGCTGAGACCACATCCACAAGAAAAACACATTTTCCCACAAAAACGGCAAAGAATTCAATCATTATTTTCCATGAATACTGTTTCGACGGATAATTTTATTCACAAAACAGAAAAATAAATTTATTTTTTTGCTTTAAATTAATTTCTTAAATACTTTTTATTTATAAAAACTATTTTCTGTAGCATTTTCTTACGGAAACAAAAAAAACACAATTAATTATTCAAATGAAAAATTGCGTTAAACTCGGGGTAAGTTTAATTAATTTAAGTGCCGTTTTTTGTCGTGAATTATAAATGCGTTTAAATAACTTTCGTTACGATTTTCAGCACAAAATCTTAAAGTTTATGCAAAATTTTTCAAATGTAAATTTATTTTGTTTTAATTTCGTTATATACTTATTATATGGAGATTTTGCAGTAATTGCTTTCCACTCATCAATTATATTTATTTATTCACTTTATTTGTTAATTGAATTTCTGTTTATGTGAAAAATGATACCGTATTAAGAAACTGTATTTTATGGTGACTTAGCATGGCTTGAATTGATGGGAGGGGTGGACAGGTATACAAGCGTAAAGTGAATGACTTTTAAATAGCTTATTATTTTGGCAATAATTTGTCATTAGATTATTATTCATTATTTAAATTAATTATATTGATAATTAATTAGTTAATAGACTTTTCTAAAAACTTTGTATTACCAAATTCATTCATTAACTAGAAAATGTAATTGTACATTGCAACGATCAAATGTATTTAATATAATTTATGTAATAATTTCAATATTAACATTTCAATTATTTGTCACAAATACCATTATATGAAATGGTATATACAATAATTTTATGTCTATAATAAAAATGTGCGATTTTACTTTTAACACCCAAACCATTTGTCACATAAATCATATGAAGTTTTAATTAGTTTGGGATAAAAGTAAAACACAAAAAAACAATTACAATCCAGTATTAAAACACATTTGTTGTGCTCTTTTTATTAGTTATTTCATTATTGTTATATAAAGTTTGCCGTCAATTATATACACCATTATATTCTGGCAAAGAATCGCAAGAATCTTAAGTCCTTTTCTGGTGATGTCTGGGCTTAAGAATCAATGAGTGATTGGTGTTGAAGGGACTGACTATTTATTTGTGTGCCTTTTTAGCACCGACTGTATTGCCAATTGTCGTTATTATTAGTATTATTGGTATTTTGTGTTCAGTATTGAGAATAAAAAGCTCGTTATTCTTGACATACAATCTAAATGTATGGATGATATGAGGCTTACAGTTCACTCACACAATCCAATTGGTGATGAGATTCTGGTGACTATTCTTTGCGTAAAAGTGTGAATAAAAGGCATAATAAAAGCCATAATATATATAACTATTATATTAGTCTTTTATATTCAGCTCCAAATGATAAGTCAAACAAATAGTGTAGACTTTGTTTAGTATATCAATACTTATTAACTGTCTGTCTGTTTAAGTCCTAAAAGTCTTATTTATTTATTTGTTATTTATTTTTACGATCTCTTATTTTGTCGGATTTTTTCTCCACTAATATAATGTCATTAAGTTTTCTCTACTTATTTCGTGTACCAAATGTATCGCGAAAAACGACGTTAACTTTCACTGAAGTCAATGGTCGGGAAAGGATGGCAATAGGGAATGGCATTCAACAAACAATTTATCGCAACTTTTTATTAAATGTAATATTTTATCAAAAAATAAAACAACAAAAAGTTTTATTCTTGAGATGAATTTGTCGTAAAGTTTGCTCTCTTCTTGTTTTCACAATTCAATTGAATGTGAAAAATAGTTACAAAACTTTTTTGACACAAAACTAAAACAAAAGCCAAAAATGTCTCGTTTTATAACCAGAAGTTCCGCTTTTGGGTTATCTCTTCACGTCTTGTTGTGTAACGAATTTTTGAGACAAAAATGTTTTTGGCGTTAAATAACATTAAAAAGCAAATGTTAAGTATTTTTCTAGCGTTTGCTGGCATTTCGGTACACCATATCCACAGCTAATTAGTTTATATTACAGGATTGGGATCATTAGATAATGCCATAGTTAAAGGATTTGTGTATTAAGTACTGTACCTCTAAACACCATTCTGGTTATCAGGATAACGTATAAAATACAGTTAAAGCATTAAAAATATCAAAATACAAACCGGAATAATAAAAATTTATTTTTGTAGCTTAATTCACATTAATTTATATTTTTAATATAATTCACATTATTATATAAAACTCATACAAATATTTATCTCTTTTGGAAAATAAGTGAAGAATTTTCAGCAAAATTAATAATAAGTTATTGAAACAAGGGTTCGTTAGCTATGAACATACCAGGGCTCAGATTAAGGGAAAATGTATTTTTAGTGAAACAGCCGTTGTTTAGCTGCGGTGACACTCATTACGAGTCAAAGACAACACAAATTCTTCACTTAATTTGCTCACAATATTAGCCATTCATCACATTTGCAGCCATTGTCTCCCATAACCAGCGCATACATACAGCTACAGAATATTCTGCATATTTTCGGTCTTTCTCTCAGCCATACATTGCTGTCAAATATTAGTCAAACCAATTAAATATGCAATTTTTGCATTCATCACATACTCGCTCATATTTCTACCAGTGCTTTGTCTCTCAATATAATCTCTATGTCTTTGTCCGCAATATGTCTGCGCTCTACAGCCTCTGCCATAGGATTAAGTTTTATTGGCTTTTGTTGTTTGCCTCCAATTCTATGCTAATTTTGAGACGATCTCTCTCTCTCTCTCTCTCTCTCTCTCTCTCGCCTCCCAAATGACATGACTAATGAAAGGGAGAGAAAACTCTTTTCACAACTGTTTTATCAATTCATTTAATAAGTATAAGCGAACGGATATGTTATATGTTGGGCCCAAACGGCAAAACATAACACACAATACAGTATATGATAGCAAACGATGCCTTTTCTCCGAGACTTAATCTCCCGTTCCTTTAGCTGCAGACGTGTGTGCAGTCAAAGTAGGCGCACATCCTTTCGGCTCCGATAATACAATCACTCACTCGTCCATCAGATTAATCACGAAAATACATCGCATGTATGGTTAATACACGACCGCCACCGCACATACCGGTGCTGTACCCACACAAACCTACCTGAGCTTTTCATATACCATCACAAATGCGTTGATTAATGAGATGTAAAGTAATTGGAAAAATCCAATTAAATTATATTTAAATTCAATTATTTAATGTAAGTAAATGTAAAACAATTTTACGCTAATATTAATTACAGTTAATTTCGTGGTATTAATCAAATAAAAGTAAATTATTTTTTGTTTCATTTGTGTAAATCATTTTAATCGACAGTTGAATGTATTCAAGAAGTATATTCACCGGAATCTAAGCCATAATTATACATCTGAAGTGTTGAACAAATTTCTTTCATATACTCCTCATATCGCAAAATATTGTATTATAAGTAAAATATGCTTTTTATCTTTTTATGTGTTAAAGCTTTTATGTATTATTATTATTACTCTAATATTATTATTAAAGTCTGACAAAACTCTGATATAAGTCTGGAGCAAAAATATATTTTCCTCAAAGGCTTTTACATGTCATCGAAACAAAAGGAGAGATTGTATTATAAGAGCTTAACATAAGATATCATAAGAAGAATAGATAAGAAAATCTAAACAGAAAAGCCTTTTGAAAATTCAGTGCACAATCTGGTATGAGATGCCGGTGCTATACTGTATGTGCGGTGCAAATGGAGGGCAAAATACGTGCCAATTAAACAGTTTATGATAAGCCTTTTGGACACAAATGACACTCCGGTGTAATGAATGGCTCGGATATAACCGGGTGTTAGACAGGGATCAGCGATGAAATTAGTAAATCAATACTGAATATCAAACATTTCCCATGATATATGAAATGTTAGACAATTTCGAGTGTTTTATAAAATATTAGAAAACTTTTATAAAGAAGTTAAAAACTAAAAATTTTAATATGCTAGCATTAAAACAGTAAAAATTTTATATCAATTTAGAAATTAGCACAAACTCATTGAACCGAAAAAGTGCAGCTATCATACCATTCCCAAATATACTGTACAGTGTATTTGCAATCATTTAATCAAAATGTTTGAATTCTTGAATTCATTTTCCTCTTTTAATTTCTACTCTAATTCTCACTCACTTTGTATTGTTTTAGCGCTAACTCTGAAACACAAAGAGAGAGAAAAATTTAAGTAATTATTCGCATCACTAGTGACTTCACACTCTAGTAATACAATTGCGGACTTAAATTCACTGATGATTTCCAATGCCATCGCAAAACGCATCACAAAATACTTAAAGTTTTAAATGAAAAATATTTGCACTAAATTTGTAGCACAAAATTAATCCAATTTATTCAAATTAGAGACCACTTTTATGGGGGTCTTATCATAATGTTTAATAACCATCGACTCATTTAATACT